CTTTTGGGAGAGAGCTGGCAGAATACCTCCATGTTTCATCAGCAGCCTCAGGCAAGAGCTTTTCCTTCAATAAATGACGCTGTGAAATATAATCCAACATCTTGTCTTTTTAGAACACTGCTTTTTGTGCTTCCTGACTAGGAGTTAGGAAATGCATATTTGCAATGTTGAGAAATAGCGTTCCAAATTTCATGAATCCGGATGATCCTTGAAAACAGTTTTATTGAAAGGCTTGTGGTCCTTAGAGGCAAAGGTCATTCATGAGAAGTGCCAGGGAATGACAGGGAGTCTGAGAAATAAGGAGAGAGGTCTTCTCCCATTGAATGGACAATGGGCAATGAAAATCATGGAGAAGAGATGCCACCTTCCATTCACAGGCTGCATGGTTCCTTGAATTAGATCTTCCAGAGCCAGAGTCAGCAAGACTGCTTGGGAAAGCGGTTTCTAATAGTCATTAATAAAACCCCAAACAAACTAAAACCTTAATATTTATTGAGGCCTAACCATATGTCTGGAACTGTGCCACTGTTAGAGGAGGTGATTGGGAGGAGGTGACAGCCAGTTGACCCACAAGCTGGATCTGGGCAACTGGAAGCTCCTTACCCCCTGCTCTGTTCTTGGAATGTGCGTTCTACCCATTGTTCTCACCCTAGGAGCCACTTCAAGGATACAGCTTTGAGAGACTAATGGGTTGAGACCATCTGGACTATATACATGACTGAACCCCATGAAGGCCTCTATATAAACTTTTAAGATTCTGGTGGGCAGGTGTTGAGATCCATTTATCTTGTGGGTGCCCAAGACAAGCCTCCTGGTAAGTTGTCTTGCTTATTAAAACTGCCACCCACCAATCCGGAGTGATCTGTCTCTTTCTTTAGTCTTTCCTTGCTCTCCGTGTACGCAGACCAATTTAGAATTTCACCAGGGGAACTCCTGAGGTTGCTAACCAACAGTCAGGTGCTGGGAATAGATGGATCATGTAGATGCTGGTCTAGCTCCTTAAGTAGTTAAACAAGTAATTGGAAAGTTAGGAGATTACGTACGTTTACAATTTTAAGTTTAGCCTTATGAAATTGCCTTTTTATTATAGGTCAATACTGGTTATTTCATGTGATTGGCAGTTGCATATGATTGAATACCAGCAGTTTCATATGGTCCAACATAAAGAGCTTATGGCTTTATTATTTTCCTTTTGGGCCAGTTCTTCTTAATGCAAGACCAAATGACCAATTTGGTGTGTGTCATTATCTCTGGTGCCCGCAACAACGCATGTCAGTACCATCACCTTGTCATCTGATAACTGATCATACAAATTCCTCTACACATTTCCAGATGCAGGGGATGGGAGTCAGGGGGATGGTGGTGAGGGGCCATACCTCATTTAAAAACTCTTGCAGTTGTTACAGAAATCAATTCAGGCTTGGTTAACTGAAAATATCCTCAGATGAGGTGGGACTTGAGCTAGAAATTGAAGGGGAGGGTAGACTTTATTAGGGAGAGGGAGACTGAGAATTCATTCTTTCCTCTATACTTGCAAAAGTGAACGGGCTGGAATGAAATTCCTGGGTCCAGAAAGGGAAGAAAAGAAAATAGAGAAGAATGGCCCAGTTTTGGTGAAGAGGATTGGGACAGGAAGGGGAAGTTGGGCCCTGAGGGTTTTTTGTTTTTGTTTGTTTTTGTCGTTGCTTTTTAAAGTAGGTTAAAGGTCAACCCTTGAGTGAGTTTGGGTCTTATTCTGTAGGTAATGGCATTCCCGGGAGACTTAAGGAAGTGTTTCAGGAAAGCTCCATGGGGTCCTTGCTCTGCATCTTACACCCCTCCTGGAATCCATGTTCTAACAACTGGAAATCTGCACATAGAGTGGTTTGGGTTGGCTGCTGTGTATCAAGGGGCACAGCAGCTCTGGAGTGGTTCTATAGTTCTCCAAAGAGGTGGAAGTTCAGCCCTAACCTGTCTTAGAAAAACAGTAATACCATTACTGAGAAAGAATAATTTCGGTGTTTGTGTTTCCATATAACGCTTATGCGTTTGTGTGTGCCTTTAAAAATCTTAGATGCAACCATTAAACCTAACAAAAACTAGGAAACATGAAAAGGATTAGGTTCAGATATATTATGACTACTGTCTGGTCTATAGGACCTAATACACATGTATTTTACATAGATCAAAGCTCCAAATTACTAGGTGTCACAACTTCAGACACAGGAGTATTACCTGTGTGTTTATATGGCTGCTTCTCAGGAACGTTGGTGAGAAGTTCATGATGTTACCAATATGAAAATGCTCCACCACTATAATATGCTGGATATTTGAAGAGACAACGGATCAGAATAAAAATGGTGCATACACGATGATATTAATATTAAAAATAATAATACAGGTGGTGATAAGTGCTATTAAAACAGAAAACAGTTTAAGAGGGAGAGAAATGAGTGCATGTTTGCGTTTTACAAGAGGGTGGGTTTCTAAATGCCATGAGATGTAGTTTCATATAAGGATTATTCACCTATCTCATCATTCTCTCTCATCAAGGTCTTTAAATAACAGGATCTACTTTAATAAAAAAATGCCAAACTCCTGGAACCTTCACTAGTCGTCAGCAAAGCACACATAGAATCTGTACTATACAATTTAGCCCTTAATTGCGTTTGCCTTTGTTTCCCATTGTTTTCCCGTCAGCTTCATGGGCTCAAAATAGACCTTAAGCTTCTTGAAGGCAAGAACCCGGCTTTCCTAAACCGCGTCCGGTACACGCGCTGCACGTACGAAGCAGAGGCCAATTTGTGGAAAAGAGAGCAAGGGTCTTAAATTTCAAACTGCAGCTCCGCCTTTGAGAGGCTTTCCGCAGCCGCGTGCGGCCGCCCACCGGGGGCACTGTCTCTCTCCCCGCACCCCTTAGCCGCCCTTCCTCATTGCTGTGCCCCACTGCGGCCAGCAGGAGGCGCCACGGACCCAGGTTAAGCCTTTTCCCCCCTTTTCCTACCCCACTTCCCCCAGCACGTGACGTGGGAAGCTGCCTCCGCCGGAGTCTCAGCAATAGGAGTGAGGGGGTGACGGGGTTTGGGGGTGGGGTGGGGTGGGGGGTGTGGAGAAAGAGGGCACGCACACACACGCTGGGAGCAGAAACATCCTCCCTAGCTTCGTGGGTTTCTCCTCCCACCAGAGCCAGTGTGTGAGAGGTAGGTGTGTGTGCGGGGTGGGGGCCGCGCGTTTTTGGGTGTGAGACCCAAATCCAGACCAGGGAACCTGCGATCTCCCGCCCAACCCCCGTCCCCGGTGATTAATACCCATTTTTCTTACTCTCCCCCTCCTCCCCCTCCTCGTCTTCCTCTCCCGCTGCCGCGCGGTTGACTTGCACAGCGTGCCCCCGCCCGCTTCCCCTCCCCCGGCTCCGATCATCACCAACTGGAATCTGGGCTCCTGCCTCTCCACCCCCCCCTTTTTTTTTTTTTTTTGAGAAAGGAAGGTTCCCCCCAACCCCTTTTCAAAAACCACTTCCTTCGGCTTCTTCACCTCTAGGAAATCTCGGGGCTTTGCTCTTATCGGAAGTGTTCGTCAGGGTGATTTTTGATGACCACAGTCCAGAAGTGCTGGCGTCCGAATGCATTTTTTTTGGCTTTGCCAAGAAGAGTCGTGAACTTCAAAACCCCCGACACGGATTATCAATCCTGCTTTGCAGGAAAGGAAAACCCTCAATCCCTGGCCACCCGCCACCCCTCTCCGGAGATTCTGCAATCGCCCAGGCGCTCGGAGTCGGTACGTAAATGTTCGCTTTGGAGTCTCCTGTCAGGGTGTTGGGGTTTGGGGGTGTCAGGAAGATAAAGGGTCGAAGCAGTGGAACCGTTAACTAACCTGCTATTGGGCGAAGCTCTTGAATCCGGCAGAACCCGGCACTTGCTAATTTGGACGTGGCTTTTTAAAAAACATATATATTTTCTTACGGTGAAAAGGGAGGGCTCCCTCTGGTCTTTTTTGGGGGGAGGGGGGGTGTTAATCCCCTTACCGAACAGAGAGGTTGGGCATCGGTGCCCCGGGCCGGAGCCACGCGCCGCGACCATCCGTCCAATCGACACGTTGCAGGTGAAGCCCCGTGCGCTGCACATCAGCGCGGCGGCGGCGTGAGTGTGCGCGGGGGTGAGTGTGCGCGGGGGTGAGTGTGAGTGCGCGCGCGGGGGCGCGTGCGCGTCGGGGGCGTGTGTGTGCGCGCGCGCGCGTGTCAGTGTGCCCCTTCCAAGAAATGCCCAGTGTGCACCCAGTGCACAATCAGAACCCATTCAGCACAAGCCCGGGGTGGGAGGAGGCGCTACCGCTGGAGGCGATGGGGAGAGCGAGACAGACATGTCGGCAGCAATGCAGATGGGGCTGGGGGCCGCACTTGCTGGCGAGTTAAGTGGGGATTGTGCTTCTGCGTGTGTGCGAGTGTGTGGAGTGTGTGTTGCTCTCTGGTGCCGCTTCCCCCCCCTTCCTCCTTCCTGCCCGCTGCCCTCCTTCGCTCGCTCCCTCCCTCTCCCCTCTTCCATTCAGGTTGGCATTCCCACCTCTCATCCATGCCTGTCCCAGGAATGGTATAGCCAGACCTTTTCTGAATTATTTATAGACCGGTGCCGGCAGTTTTCCATCCCTCTCGTGTGCACTCTGTGGGAAATGCGGGGTTTCCTGCCCCTTTTCCTTAAAACGAATTGATACCTTTTTCGGAATGCATTTTTCTCACCCTCCGGGGAACACTCGAATCAAACCCTGACCGCCTCTTTTTCCCCCTTAGGAAGGGGACGCTTTGGGAATGACCATGCTCCACGGAGGGACAGAGCCGGCCCCCAGCTTCTCTACACAGAGCCTCCTCCACTAAAGCTCCAAAAATCAAAAACCGTGATTGCCAGAAGAATCATTAAAAAAATAGCCCAGCCACTAACCTCACATGCAAATGGAATAATTACTCTGGATTCTGCATTGTGAGCTGCTCTCCATATTCTGAATTACCTTTGAATTCAGTCTTTTTTTCTTTGAATTTGCATCTCTTCAAGACACAAGATTAAAACAAAATTCACGCTAAATTGGATTTTAAATTATCTTCCTTTCATTTATCTTTCGTCTTTCTTATGTGGATATGCCAGCGAGAAGAGGAGACTGGACATTCCCAACATGCTCACTCCCTTAATCTGTCCGTCTAGAGGTTTGGCTTCTACAAACCAAGGTAGGGCAAATTCTGTTTTATTTCGTCTCACCTGGGGTAGGGATTCCTTGTTTATCTCTCTCTTCAAATCCCTCAAGTGGAATTTTTGGAAGAAAAGGCGACAAGATAAGAAAATAATGCTGTTTGGGGAAAAAAGGCTTATTACAAAGGGGGAAATCTCCCATGTTATGTCTTTCCCTTCCTCATCAAACAGGTTTCGGGTTTTTGGGAGGCAGTGGGGGTGGATGCATGTGGGAACGGAAGATGTTGGGTAGCATAAGGGTCTATGTATGTAGACATGCATGGGAGACCTGTGTGATTTTTGAGCTAAAGAGCATTTTATTCACCCAGGGCTACAGCTCCGATTTTTATGGGAATCTAGGGAAAAAAAAATTTTTTTTTTTTTCAGGCTAGCCTTTTCCCCCGTTGCCACTTCCATGCCTGTCTGTCTCCTATTCTCTACCTTCCTAGGAATTTTTTTTTTTAATGCCCTTTTAAAAAAGGAAAATAATGATTACTGTGGTTGTTGCCCTGAAGTCCACTTGCTGTCTAAAGCATTGACACCGGGCCCAGAGATCCCGGGAGGCCTACTGCAGAGGGACAGGTCTAGGTGGGGAATCTGGCTGGTCTAGGAACACCTGGGATTGAAGGTTGCTGCAGGTTAAAAGGACTTCAGTCTTAGGCTTGCAAGGAACGAATTCTGTCAATATTCTTTTAATTGATATATTTTTTCCTGTGCTATTATTTTTGAGCTGTAAATTTCTCCTTCTGTCTACACATCTATTTATACCCACACATCCTCCAAGCAAACTGTTACTTCCACACTCTTGCAAAATGGCTATCTTGCAGAGTTCTAAAATGCTGTGCATGAGGAAGGGGTGCAGAATTCCACACGTGAGTCTTTGTGTTAAACAAAGAGATATGCCGTTTGCATGTGTTCGTCTTGTACCTTCAAAAGAGAATGAAGACTTTATTTTTTTTCCCCCTCTCGTCAATTTTTACAGTATATGAAATGTGGCTAGGCAGTATTTTTTTATGTACTTGAAAAGAGAAATAGCAGGAGAAACGGAAAAGACTTAGCTAATGACTCTTCAGCTAGGCACTCGTGCAATGCAAGACAACTCCTGAGGCAATCAGATCATCCACAGGCTGGAGGGCCATGATGGCGAGCTGGTGTGCTCCTCTCCTTGGTCCACTGACCGTACACCCCCAAACTCTAAGGGTGCCCAAATGCAGGAATTGGGTTGAGATAAAGGTCTTCAAAATCCTGTAGCAGAATCGTGGGCATCGATAGTCTCTCTGAAAGTATTCTCCCCGCAAATCTTTTTTTTCTGGCATTTTTAATGACTATACTTTGAAGCAATCCAAAAATCCCAAGGGGACGTGGGGGAAGTAGGAGAAGATGTTTGTCCCTCAACATCACACCAGAAGATAGTTCCTCATTGTCCAGAAAGGATGGATATCATCCACACTCACCCCCCCACCCCTCCGGTTTCGTTCTTTTGAGCCTTTAACTGGTAATCTGTACCCATCTGTACTGTGGGCAGAATGGGAGAATGGGATCCCACTTTGAACCCTGTTCTCACCATGTCTACAAATAGCTGAGGTTATCTGGTGTGTGTTCACCTTACAGACACCTGAGCTGGTTCTCCATCTGCTTCTACTCCTTCAAGTGGGAGGATGTATTCTTAATTTTACTTCAAAATAGAACAGAGGTATGGGTGAGAACAGCAACTCCATGTGCACTGGTTTCCTACGTACAGATGAGCAAGGTGAGGTGGGTGTCCTTAGGGCCTATGCCTCTTTTCTCATTCCTGGTGCCTGCGAGGGTGTCCTATAGGGACGAGGTCCTGCGTCGTATTGGTTGGTGACCAGGTTGACAGCAGGCCTTTGGGCAGAGTCTCAGCCACATTCTCCTGGAATGCTCATGGGATTAAGCCAGGTTCTAGGCCATCCTTAGTTGGCCCTAGAGCTAGACAAAGGACCAGAGGTTAAAAGGGGAGGGTGGTGGGGACTGGGTGGTGGGAAAGCTACAAGGAGAAGGGGAGGTGCTTATTAGGATTCAAGGTGGAATCACCATAGTCGGTCTGCACCTTTACCACATCCAAAGACGTTTTGGAGCCCTGACGAAGCAGGTGTGTCCCGTCCCCGTGAGCAGTCTTGACGAGGCTGTGACTCAGTGGTGTTCTAGGCTGTCTCTGGGCCACTGCTCTCCCTTTCTTTCTCTGTTTTCCCCCCTCATGGCACAAAGAGCTGACTGGGTTCTATTTTGTCTTCTCTCCTTCTGCCACCCCTCCGTACAGTGTGGGTTACCTGAGGAAGAAATGTGTCTGCTGGTGGGAGGAAGAGCAAATTTAATTTCAGTTGAGGAGCCTCCGTGATGTACAATTAAGAAAACAATAATAAAAGATACTAAGGGGAAATCAAGACTTCTCAGGCAAGCCTGGCTAAGGAGTTTAGATTGGTGATTTGAAGGGAAGCAGAACAACATGGTTGCCTTCTATCCCTGTGTGTTTCAGGTGTAGCAAAGCATGACGGGTCTGGGACCACAGAGCCATGTGGCCACCCAGAGATACCTGTTCACGTGCAACGAGAGGAGCAGGGCGTGCCCCTCAGTTGTCTCATTTCTTCTCAGCATTGGTTCCATTCCTAGGAAGCCTGTCTGTCGGAAGACTCTTGCTTTGCCACTGCATGTGTGTCGTTTCTGGCAGGGATAGATGCAGAGAAAGCACAGAAGAAACGAGGCAAAATTAAGGGAACGGAGGAGGACCAACACATTTCTCTAGTCACTACTTTGCACACCAAATGCCTTTCTTGTCGGCTGAGTGCGAAGAGCGACTCCCTCTGGTGAAGGGGTGAACGGCAGGTTGATTTTGTATTCCTCTTCACCTCCAGAAGGATGGCTTCGGAACCTTGACCATCTTCTTTGACCTTCATGCGCATGCACCAGCCTTGTGTGAGGAGGCGCAGTGGGCACCTGGGCGGTGGACACACGGACTGAAATTGGTTGGGGGGATGAGTGATGCTGGACAGGGAGAAACGAGACTGAGCTGATTCAGCCCTCGACCATATCATCATTGCCTTGTAAAACATTCTCCCGTCTCCTCCATGAATGTGATGAGCCCCGGATGCAGGGGTTTGCCCCCCTATTTTCGTGTTCAACAATACGAAGATGAAGGTGACATGTCCACGACTGCTAACAAGTTAAAGCAAAAATGTCAGGAATGTTTATGGAGTAGGAAATATAGCAGGCGGGGGAAAGGACGGGTTGTATGTGAAGAAACCGTAGCAAAAAAAATCAGCCTATAAAAGCCAGGGGCAGGAAAGAAGCCAGGGTGGAACTCACCTTTCTAAAGGTTGGCAAACGGTTGTTCCGAGTGATAGCCTTTTCTCCTTAATAAGGAAGACTGGGGCTGACAAAACCACTCATCTCGTGTAACTTGTTGGGGTCAGGAGTGGATACGCTGGAAAGTTAGGTCCTCTTTCCTTCCTGCCATTCTCCAGCCTCCTTAGAAATTCTAGAAATTTCTTCCTTTCAGTAAATTACATTTTCAGTCTCTGGTAGCGTGCATGCAATCGGATACGAGTGTCGTCTCTATAAATAAATATAGATCAAAAAGAGTTACTGGTCTAATGAATTGTTCACATTTATTAAAGTGCATCCCCTCTTTGAAACCACAGAAGAAGTCTCTAGGGAGAGTAGATTAGTGGTCGAATTGATATTATCTTTCAGAAGGATGCCGAAACTAGAAGAACCGAATGCAGTCAGGGTGAGGGGGAGTGGGCATTAACTCAGAGGAGGTGGGTTTCTGGGGGTGCGCCTGTGGCTGTTAATGGTCTATCTGTGGCCCTTACACCAAATCCATTGTGTGGATGTGCTCTTGGCGTTTTGTGAACCCAGAGAGGTGTGTTTGGGAACCTTTGGTTGGTTCGTGGATATCCTCCAACTACCTTATTTTTGTCTTTTCACTTTTAGTGCGTGCAGCTGAGGTTGGCAGAGAAGGTTGGCGGAGTGCATATGTTGGCCCTTTGTTGAAATCCTGCCTGACTGCCCCAAGCAGAATGGCCACTCTGCCTTCTGTGCATCACCAGGGCTGGTTCATGATCATGACCATACTTTTATCCTAATTTTGTTTTTATGCTCTGTTTCCCAAAGTTTGTGAGCTCCTTGAGGACAGGGAGGGATATTTATTCATCCTGGAATCATTTGTCCTTAACACAGTGCCTGGCACATAACAGATACTTGAAACAAAAAATACTAGGTAAGTGGAAAGAGGAAGGGGAATATTAATTAACAAATAAGGCTATTTGTTGTTTGTTCTGGTGGGCGGCAGAAGGATTTGAAGGTAAGATGTTAGATGAGATCAAGACGGTCAGAGCTCCGTGACAGTTTAGAATGCATTTACTCTGACCTTCTCATTTCAACAGGTGAAGAAACTGAAATCCAGGGACATTAGGTGATTGGCTTAGGTTGTGCGGCGGCTTGGTGGCAGTGCTCTGTGCACCACACCACTGAACGAGATGCAGAGGTTATCTGCGGATATCAAATGGCTACATTGGCTTTTGTCAAACTTTTTTGTCTCTAGGAATCACCTCGGGATCTTGTTAAAAATGGACACTCTGATTCACTAGGTCTGGGGTAGGGCCCAAGATTCTGCATTCCTGACACTCTTCAGTGATGCCAAAGTTGCAGGCCCATGCATTTGGGGTCTACATCGTTCCTGCTCCGAATTCTATGTCATGGTTAATGTTGTCAGCTCCGCATATATGTTCTACTTTTGGAACTTCCAGAATTTCTGATTTTTCTTAGAAAAGATCCGAGAGGAGCCTGTGTATCTAGGGTCACCCATGTCCCCTCTTCTGTCACTCTCCCACCATGTGTGACTTTTTTGCCTCTTCCGCTTTCATCCTCTGTGCATTCTTATTCTGGCCCTTTTCGTCATTGAGTCTTCTCTTTCTCTTGATGTTCTTCTCTAGATAGAGTTTATGTATTTACTAGTGTCTCTTAGTCTCTTTTCTTT